ACTTTAGAGGTGAAAACTTCAAGTATAACAGAAAAAACTTACACATGGAAGACTTTTAAGGAAAAAAGTCTTACTATTTTAAATGAAATGGACGGTGCTCAGGCCCCCGTGCAAATTCACAGAATGCCAGTGGCACACACAATTTATTTTGGCTCTGGATAGAGTTACGTACGTGGGGGTTTTCTCCCTATTACTACAGGATGCTTTTGTGACCAGGGGGTGAGGCATTCACGAGGAAGGTAAGAAAGATGACCACATTTATCTGGCATTGTATCCACCGTGAGGCAGCAGCTAAGATTAAGAGCTATATACACGAGCGCTTGTCAGTGCCTCCTTAACAGGATACATTTCAACGTTTTTCTCAGCATGAGCTTGACTTTAACAATGAATCCAGAAAAAAAAGGAAGTGATAATAAATCACAAACAATAAAAACTAACAGAGATTTCTTCTGACCTTGCCACTGTAGCTCTTCCATCCCACGGGCCTGTCAGAATATGCTAACTGAAAGCACTTAGAGAGAAGCTGCCGGAATCCAGCTGCACCCTAGAGACAAGAGGCACGGGAAGCCTTCCAGAAGCCCCCTAGCATCTTCTTTGGCAAGAGACACCCCTGCTGCGCTAGTCAGGAGAGCAGCTTCTAGGCAGGGACAGACACCAGGAGAGAGCGGAGCAGTGGCGGGACAGAATGCAACAGTAACAAAATCAGACTTTGCCTGGTGGACCATTCTGCCCAGGCCTAGTGGAGAGGCGAGGGAGAGTCTGGAGAGAGCCACTGGGGTCCTGTATCCGGGAAAGACATCTTTAATAATTAACAAACGAGAAAGCCATGGAGTCATTAATGTGACCCTTAACATTTTGAAATTCTGAGCAAATCACCATGCCTCCAGAGCCTGCAGCCACATCACAGGCTCCCCAGCCAATGAGGGCTGAGAAGGCTAGGAAAACACAAGAAACTTGGAACCAAATGAAATTTATGACCAAGTCAATCTATGCATATTTGATGCAAATGCAACCTAGGACAAAGTCAATCTAAGATGCAGTTGAAGTGCCCCATGATTCAACAGTGGATGTGTGGAAGGCACCAATGGAAAACAGTTCTTCTTTTTTTTTTTTTTTGAGACAGAGTCTCACTGTGTTGCCTGGGCTAGAGTGCCGTGGCGTCATCCTAGCTCACAGCAACCTCAAACTCCTGGGCTCAAGCGATCCTCCTGCCTCAGCCTCCCGGTAGCTGGGACTACAGGCATGTGCCACCATGCCCGGCTAATTTTTTTTCTATATATTTTTAGTTGTCCAATTAATTTCTTTCTAATTTTAGTAGAGACGGGGTCTCGCTCTTGCTCAGGCTGGTTTCGAACTCTTGAGCTCAAACAATCCACCCGCCTAGGCCTCCCAGAGAGGTAGGATTACAGGCGTGAGCCACCGCGCCCGGCCGGAAAACAGTTCTTATAAATTACTGAAATTAATAAGTCAGAACGAAACAAAATTTTCATTTTTCTCTTCTCACTTCATTAATACTCTAGTATCTATAACCAATAGAATTTGAGTTTTCTTTTTTCCCAATATCTTTTGAAATATTAAAATACTGTTTTCATGTGTTAAACGACAAAGATGCTTGCTCCAAGGATACTTTTCACCCTAACCTGAATGTCCTTCCAGAGTTCAAGATACCTGGAGTGGTTTTTTTAATGCAACTAAATGCTATTTCAAGTTTCTTGAAGGCAGGAATATTGTGCAGGAAAAGAGGATAGTTTCAATCCTTGTGTTTAAATCCCTGTTCTGTTCTTTATCACCTGTATGAAGGTAGGCACGTTATTTGGTCTTTCTTAGCATTAAGCTATTTAAGTGTTAAATTGCCAGCAAAAGAGGTGGGGAAGCACGGGCCAGGGAGGTAGAAGGAAATCGAGGCATGTAACACACAGTAGAGAGAGAAGAAAGTGTTTTAAGAAGAAAATGTTTTTAGAAGGAGGGAGTGGTCAACCATGTTGAAAACTGCTGCACAAATCATGAGAGAAGTTTCCATGATGTCTGCTGACATGGAGGAAACTATCAAGATTTTTAAACTGTTCTTGGTCCATTATTTTAAGACCATGGGAAAGAAAGGAAAGAAAGGAAAGAAAGGAAGAAAGAAAGAAAGAGAAAAAGAAAGAAAGAAAGAAAGAAAGGAAAGAAAAAAGAAAGAAAAGAAAGAAAGAAAGAAAGAAAGAAAAGAAAAAAGAAAGAAAAGAAAGAAAGAAAAGAAAGAAAGAAAAAGAAAGAAAGAAAGAAAGAAAGAAAGAAAGAAAGAGATAGTATCTCTGATCACTGTATTGTTTTAAGGGATGTCTTTCCTAAGGTCTCATTTGCATGTTAAAACAAAACAAAATCTGAGAACAAATTTTTACAACTCTGGTTCTTCCTTTCACTTTCAATAATTTCTAGGTTCTCTATGCTCATTTAAGGGAGAATTCTAGGGGATGGGAGTAAACTAAACCTAGATTATATAATTCAAGGCAGGTTCAGAAACATTTCCTCCTCATTGTAAGCACATCTGATAACAGTATTTTCCATATTGATGTACAATAAGTCTTTCAAATGCAGTCATTTCATCGTTAGCCTAAATTTAGGTAAGCACAATTTCTGAATATTAAGACAAAGAAAAACAAATGCCACAATAAGCCTTTTAGCACAAAGGTCTAAAAATACTATATTCTTCTCCCAACTCCACACACAAAGGAAAAGATCGCGGCCATACGAAGCTGGGCTGACCAGTCCCACGGAAGTCAGAGATGAGGCCCTCCTCAAGTGTGAACTGACTTCCCAGGGCGTGGTCTACCTTGCTTACAAGCTGGAAACACATTTCATGAAAATTAATATTAATTATGGTATGATGTTGCCTGTCCCCCCAAAGAATAGAAACACAGGCATCAAGGGATTCAGAGATGTGTAGAATGGAGATGGCCTCTTAGTTGGAGAAACTGAGTCTGTGACAGGGGAAGGGACTGGCACCGTTACACAGCTCGCACGCAGGCGCGCTCCTGGGTCCGTCCCCCACATGAAAGCAGCCCTCTCTGAGCCTCGCTCCCTCTGCCCCCTCCCCCGCGCTGCCCCCCTTGCCAGCACGACCTCTCTCACGGAGTCTGCGTCCACCGGCTCCACTTCCTGCCCTCCCGTTCATTCTTCTGTCCACCTCCATCTGGCCTCCTTCTCCGCCACTCATCAATAAATGCACAGTCAAGGTCCCCAACATCCTTCCTGCGGTCCTACCTCTCTCCCTTTTACGCTCCTTAGCAGCATCCAACATCAGCCACTCCTGCCTTCTTGCCCCCGGGTCCTGGTTTTCTCCACACACTCTGATGTCCCCCCATCCCTTGCTAGCTCCTGGTCTTCCTCCCGACCTCTTCTCTCACCTCCTCTCTCCCTGGTGATGTCAACGCGTTCAGAATTGTAAGTGTTTTATAAGCTGAATATTCCAATTTCTCCAATGAGCTCCTGACTTGAAGACCCCAGAGTTCTTAATATTGAATATCTATCCGGCATCACAAACTTAACATATGCAAAACTAGTCTCTTCATCTTTTTTCCCCTCCCAAGCCTGTTCTTCCCAAAGTCTTTACCGTCCCATAAATGGCATCATCATCTACCCAACTGCGCAAGTCACAAACCTAGAAGTCATTTCTCTCTTCTCCACATTCAGTTCCCCGACCTCCCTCCTAGAAGGCCTCCGGTCAGGTTCACATCACCGAGCAGTCCCTCTGCAGCACTGCTCTCCACCTGTGACCAGCTGGTGCATGCCATAGTGTCCCTACTAAGTGGGAGCTCCATGAGAGCAGGGACTGTGTCCTCTTTGGCCATAGGGGTAGCCATCCTGCCTAGCTCAGTAACCATTGGCTGAGGGAACAGAGGCAGGAACAGTGGCGCTGGGGTGAGATCGCAGGTCTCCTGGCTCCTGGCCCGCTGAGCTTCCCATCACTAGAGGTGCCTCTTCTAAACAATGGATGAGTCAGCTTGGGAGGCTGTAGTAGCGTGCAAGTGCAGGGAACTTGGCCATGGGTAGGGTAGGGCGCAGCCCACCGCGCCCTATGTTCTGCTGTGCTGCACAAAAGCAGCAGCCAGCCTCCCTCCCTGGGGTCTGGCCAGCTCGGTGCATTTCTGTTAGGCTTGTGCACAGCAGTTGCAGTCAGGAGGCGAGGGGGTGTTTAATTAAAAGCAAACCACAGCAGCAGAACCATCCAAGATAGGCTTCCATCTTCAGGAGGCCATCTAAGATGGAGTGGGCAGAGGAGGCAGCTTGCCTTCCCCCCACCCCCCCATTTGACAGGCAGATTCTGAACACTTCACTCTAGTCAAGAGGGGGCAGGATGGAAGCTTTGGTTGTCATAGTAACCTCAGTGCTCCCCAGGGCCTAGGCACCAGGTTTCAGATAACCATTTAGTGAAGGAGCAAAGCAGAGAGGGAGAAGCATGGGAAAACGGCAAGAAGTAACCCTGCAGGTGCCACAAGCCACAGGCTACAAACAAACTCAGGAGCTGGCAGTGGAATCCTCCTCTTGCACTGCAGACCAGCAGTGGCTTCCCGCTGGCCCACATCGGAAACAAAAGGCCCCATTGACACACACATCTGTGACTACTAAACACTTAGGAATCAATATTTTCCTAAAGATTTTTTTCCCTTTTGCTTTAAAGGGTTACTACCTGCCAGGCTGCCAAACCCCAACCTTCTCCACGTCCACAGCCACCACATGAAGTGACTGTTAGAACTCCAAGTGAAGAATTTGGTCCTGGAAATGGCCTCGTGCTAGTTTTTTCCCCGAACAGAGTCACCAGGAAAATGTCAGAAGACAAATCGAAACCCACACCCTGAAAGATGTAGAACCATCACATCCCCAGGAGGATGAGTAACCCAGCCCAGTTTAACTTAGAAAGGAAACACAGCAGATTTAATCACATGGCTTGGATGTGTCTAGAAGGGAAGAGGAAGGAAGGAGGGAGAACGAGCGGCGATGGGAGCACAGTGGTGCTTTACCTTAACACCTGCATCTCCTCCGGGGAGTCCCGCAGCTCGTCCTGGAGGCGATGCCAGCGCAGGCAGGCCCTCAGCTCTTGCTGCTCCTGGGCCTCAGAGGGGGCGAGCTGCTCGGGTGCAGACACAAAAACACACAAAGCGCAGTCATTGTGGTCCTGGTGGAACGGCTTGCTTTGTTTCAATGGGGGATGCATGGCCCGCCCCCTGCTCTCACCTTGCGCTGTCCCCCCCAGAAAATCAAAGGCCCGAAAGAGCCTCTTAGTTCCTCAAAGAACCAAGCATGGAGCTGGGACAGCCTGTTTGGGACAGGTCCCCTCTCCTGGAACCCATCTCACTCCCCCAACACACACCTGGCCTGAAGAGAGTGGGCTTCCCCAGGGGCCATTTCCACTCCGATCCCCCTGCCCCCATCCTCCTTTCCTGCTTTGTCTTTCTGCACAGGGTGGGGAAGGCCCCTCCATTTACCTCCTGTTTTTCCCAGCCCTCCATTTCACTAAGGACTGTTTACAGCGGAGTCTGCTAATGCAACCCAGATGACTCTGTTTGCACATAACCAGAAAAAGCGCACAGCCTGGACTCACTTTGGGGGAGGGGAAGGCCATTACACTCTGTCCTGCCGGCTGCTGTTGCACACACGTGCTCACTAGGCTGCATGGCTACCATCTCTGTAAGGCAGGGCAGCAGGACACCCACTGGGGAGGGAAACTGTCTAGTATCTACAGGCATATCTGGAAATCAAAGGTCCTTCATAATTCATTGAACAGATATTTACTGAGTCTCTACTAGGCCCTGAGGACATTAGGGACAGAGTTCCTACCACGCGGAGTCTGGAGGAGAGGGAGACAGGTGAGAACACTAACATCAGAGCGTTGGTGATGGTGGAGGTTAGGGAAGAACCCAGATGCCCCTGGCCAACCAGGGCTTTCCTGAGGAGGTGGTGGTGCCTCAGCTGATCCCCAAGGAAAGCAGGTGTCAGCCAGGGAGGAGCGATTTCAGGAAGGGGGAGGCACACGGGGCCTGGGAGAGCGTCACGTTCCTAGAGAATGGTGAGAGATGCGGTCGGGCCACGAGCAGACTACCATGCAGGGAGAGGGGTGCCGGGAAGTGGGCAGAGGCCAGGAGGTCAACAGACTTTGTGTGCCAATTGTCACGAACTGAACTGTGTCCCCTGCAAATACATATGTTGAAGAGCTGACCCCAATGTGACTACATTTGGAGATAGGGCTTTTAAGGAGGTAATTAAGGTTAAATGCGGTCAGCCGTGAGAGCACAGTGAAGGCGGCCAGCGGCCATCTGCAAGCCAGGAGTGAGACCTCATCAGAAACCAACCCTGTTGGCACGTTGATCTTGGACTTCTAGCCTCCAGAACTGTGAGACATACATGTCTGTTGTTTAAGCCACCCAGCCTGCGGTATTTTATTATGGCAGTCCGAGTAGACTAATATGCCTGTGAAGGACTTCAGACTTTATCCAGGTTGATGACAAGTTATATGATTCAATCTTGCAACTAACTCGATTCACTTATCCCTGTGGAATGCCACTCTGAGTGGAATGCCAGTTCCCATCTCCTCGTTCCAAGATTTCACACTCCCCGCTTGCTGTGCTCTCTAATGCTCAGTGCTGCAGAGTGCAGTCTCCGGGACAGCAAAGTGACCCAAATGAGCACTGCCACCAACGCATCCTCATACCCTCTTCACTGGTGGAGGCTGCTGCTGACCAGGACTGTCCCATGAGGTGGCACGCCCATCCCCCTCCACAGAGCACTCCCCTACTGCTTGGAAGGTGTGAGGCGGCACCCGCCAGGGACCAGCACCAGCTCAGTTGCACCCTTAAAGGAAGAGGTCAGAGTGGTGAACATGCTCCGGAAATGTTTCCAAACTTTGTGCTCGAATCTAGAACGGCCGCTTTGCCTCAGGGGTGTTCATATTTCCACATCTCGAAGAGTCACTGCACACACCTCGAAGGATGACAAGGTGGGTCGACTCCTATGCGAAGCTAAGGCAAAAGGCGGCTAGAGAACGCTCACCTCCTGCTTTCCCCTGAGGCCCCCAGCAGAAGTCACCCGCCTCCACAAAAACTTTCTGGATCCGCTCAGACCTGGCCTCTCCCACCTTTGAACTCCCACAGAATTTGGTGTTTATCTCTCTTTTCTAACTTACTTTCTTCTTCCTTCCACCGAGTGTTTTTCTTATCTTCACAATTAGGTAGGGCTGTGTCTTACTCACCCTAGTATCCCTACAGTTCTAGCATGGAGTGGACAGGGAACATACGCAGCTGGGACGTGCAGCCAGCTGGCTTCTGACAGTGGATATGGATGTATCTGAGGCAGTCAGAGGGAGGACCCAAGCCGAAGGCTAATGGTGACCACCTAGAAGTACAGGCAGGGGGAAGGGAGCACTCTTTGGGGATGCAGAAGGTGAAAGACAGAGATATCATTATCAGATGCCTGAAACACACTAGCAATGGCCAATACTAGCACAAATCTGACCATCTCAGAATGAAGTACCCAGGGAAGAGATCATGACAGAGGCACGTTTATATTAAAGCCTTGCTGAAGGCCTACTGTGTGCAAGGTAGAGGGCAATACAAAGAGGAAGAAAACAGTTGTTTCTTGTGCACCCTCCACGTGTCAGGCACTTGCTAAGCTCATTTACACATTATCTCACTCACTCTGCAAGGTTAAGCATTCTTACATCCAATCTACAAATGGGGAAACTGAGGGCAGACTACACAACCTACTTATACTCACTAAGCTGGTGAACGGCAGAGCTGGGATTCAAAGTCTGGTGCAACTCAGATCCCAGCCTTTTCCCTGTATCTACCAAGTGGCCTCTCTTCACAGGACTCTGTGTGGCAGGGGACAGGATGTGCGCACCGCCAGCTCCACAGCCAAGCTGTGAAGAGGACAGCAGGATGAGTAAGACCCTGTTCTGCTTTAAAGCCATCACAGTCTAGTTGTGAGAATAAGGAAATCACACTGTAAAGGAAAAAGAAAAGAATGAGAAAAAAAGAGGTAAGCATCAAATATTGTGGGAGTTCAGAGTTTACAGGAGAGTAGCGCTGAATTGTGAGTGGAGCGATCTGTCTGGGCTACCCAGGGAAGGTGACTCAAGCTGGTTACTGAAAAATAAATAGGATTTCAACAGACAGAGGACCTGGAACAAAATCATACAGGTGTGTACAAACTTGGGAATTTTGGAAAATGTCAAATAGCCCAGTGTGTGAGGGGCAGGGATGGCAAGGAGAAGAAGTGACCCAGATATGAGGAACTCGCAAGCAAGCAGGAAGCAGTTCAGTGGCTCGTTATCCTCATTAGAACTGGTGGCCAATGCTTTAAAGCAGAGGCTGCAAACTGGGAGCGTGTTGATCAGGTCTGGCCTCTGGGCATGCTTGGTTTGAATAATATTTTTTAAATTAGTAAGCTTCACATAAAAATCCAGATTTATGGATTCCCTTAGAAAACCATAAGCCCAGCTATACTGAGCCCTCCTCCCCTCACCACGACAATTGTTTAGAGCTGAGTAGCAGTTGCCAGTGTGTCCTCACCATTCCCTAACCTGTAACACCAACGGCTTCATTCTTCATTCATTACTTGTGGACAGACATCAGAGAGTATGACTCCTGATTTAAAGACAGATTCCTTTGTTTGTTTGTCTACTCACTCTCCTGTCTCCAGACTGTGAACCCCACAGAGAGCGGGGGCTTTCATCTCTCGTGTACACGCTCTCTCCCCAGCGGAAACAGTGCCCAGTGCACAGTAGCACTCAGTACGTAGCTGCTGAATGAATGAATGACTATATACAGAATGTGACCCTTGGTAGTGAAATGCTCAGGGTCACTTTAAGCCCACCTGCTGTGCTTTAGCCCAGAATACATCTTCCAAGTGAGTGGCAAACCCTTCACTCAGCCACTCCTCCGTCCAGTCGCGGGCCCCGATGGCTAGGCCAAACCAGGCGTGCGCAATTTCATGGCAGAGGCGGGTCCCACAGAGATGGCTCGTTCCTGTCAAGGTGCTCTGAGAGAGGAAGATGATGTGTGGGCTGTGGATAATGGGGGAGAAAACACATGGAGTCTTGTTAGAGCCTGTCCTCGTGGCCACCCCATGGGGCAGTTTCTTAGCCTGGCGAGCCTGTTATTATCATGTGCATGCCAGATCATGACCGATAGGCTCGCGGCTTAGATGCGTTTAGACATAAATAAAGTGGCAGTTTACATTTCTGGCAGCAGTTCAGGTTGCCGTTTCTGCCAAGCAGTTGTCTCCGTCATCAAACAGCTATTACCTGTAATAAGTAAACTGCACCAAAGTTTTACGCTGAAAAAATTACAAGGCAATGGAAGCATTTACTCTGAAATCTGGGCTGTAAAAGAAGAGCAGGTGTGAGTATGTGAAGCCCATGCTGTCAGGAGAGTGATCAAAGAAGACCCTTCAGCCAAAAATCCTAGCAGCTTACAAGCAAATTGAGAAGTCATGCAGAAGGACAGAAGACGCCAAGAAAAATGGAACCAAAAATTTTCCATTTTACACCAAGGCTGGTTACGGAGTTAACAAATTAACAGGTGCCGTGGATGGGTGAGGTCTCCAAAAGAGACTCAGATGAAGGGCAAGTGTGTGTAAGGCAAAGGTTTTCAGGCTATCTGTAGGCGCTTACGGATTCACGAGACATAACAAAATTATCCAGGGAGAGAGAGAGAGAGAGAGAGAGAGAGAGAGGGAGAGAAAGAGAGAGAGAGAGAGAGAGAAGGTAGGGAGTTAACCCACCCAGGTGTGCAAACGGCCCCAGGGCTGGCACCAGACAGGGAGATTTATCTAATCTCATTTTCCATACTTGTTTTAAAACCCAAAATACCACGATTAAAATTGCTTAGATGACATGGGAGGAAGGGGACCGGAAGAAAGAAGAGGCCGGTAGAGTAACTATGTATCCACCTTTGGCATGGATCGTTTTTCTGGGACTTGTTTACAGTCTTTCTAATGAAGAATTTGCTCTTATAAAAATCTCTCCTCCATCAATTGAACAAAAACAGTTGTGAAACCTTCCAAATTAAGAAACTGTACACACCGGTTCCTTTTTTCAAAAGCCATTTGTTTGCCATCATGTGGGCTCTGCACAAGCCAAGACTGCTTGCAGATTTTTCTTCCGCCCCCACAGCCACCATCAGAGAAAACCCCACCTATGTTCCCTTGCACAACTTTACCCATTCAGCTCAGAGAGCTCCGCTGCAATCGAGGGAGTCATGTCTGCCAAAGTAAGACAGCTTTCATGTGAAATAATAACAGGGCAGGCACGCAAATGAAAAAGCATCTGCCAGGTATTCTGAAGAGTCCGCCAGAAACCCCCAGAAATTAAAAGTGGAGTTGGGGGGATTTAAGACAAAGGGGTGCAATGCAACAGGCCCCAACACTAGTTCAGAGCACTAACTCCAAACAAAAACAAAAACAAAAACAAAACAACCATGGAAGGAAGGAAGGAAGAGCTGAGAGGCACAGGAGCTAAACCTCCTTTCACTGAGAAAGTCACTCCCTTGAGAAGACAAACTGTAGAACCTGGCATTTTCAAGGAAATGGCCCCTGGCTCTGGCATGTGCAGTGCTACAAAGAAAAGCCAGAGAAATGTACCGAGTAAATAACATTCCAGACATACTGCTGGCAGCAGTTCGCCCTTTTGGCTAAAACAAAACAGAAGTAACTTCAGGCCTTATAAACAGTGTCCAAGGCAAGCCTGCAAGGGAAGGGTCCGCCAGCCGGAGAGACGGCGGCCGCACGTCCTCACGGAGACTGGATGGCTGGCTGGCCACTCAGGCCGGGAAGTTTCCTCAAGCTGATGACTGTGAAATCGCAGCGAGGCAGTTCACGAAGAAAAAGCCTCCAGCACTGCGCTGTTTTGTCCCAGTCTGGAAGCCTCGCCAAGGCCCATTTATGCAAACATAAAAGTCTGCGAGGGCCTGAAGGAATGCACAGAAGTGGCCGCGTGGGGGGCGGCGTTTCTTTTTCCTGCCCTTTCATTTTTTCCCCTTGGATGGTCTTTGCTGTCTCCGCCAGACTTCCTTCCCCACCCTTCAGTGCTCTGGAGACGCTACCCCAGCCTTGGCGCATCTCGGCCGGGCTCAGGACAGGCCCCGGCGTGGCTGGAATTCAGCCTCAATTCCCGTTTCCCAGCCTCAGTCCTGTCTTCTGAGCCGGGGAGAAACGTATTTCCTACTGTCCTTTGAGGGGACAGAGCTTAAACATCCTCTTGGATCGGAAGGAAGGGCGTTTAACTTGATATAAATTACCCTATTATCAGTGGAAAACATGACCTTCCCGAATTTTCTGGTTGGGAACCTGAATGAGTCCCCCCGCAGCCTGCTCTGCCCTCTGAAGTACGGTTTTACCTACCGGACACTCTGGGGCTCTTTCCCTGTGAAGGAAATGGCTTCTTTCTTACAACTAAATTAAAAACATGCAGTAAGGTTTTAATAACTTTTCTCAAGGGCTGTTAACAAAATTCTGACATAAAAGGACTCACAGGATATTCTTTCAAGGAAAATTTCCTTCTCTCTTTTGACCCTAAATGTCAGAATTTCTCATGTTAAGTAGACTTTTAAAAGCTCTTACCTTTTTTTTAACTGCTTTCTTCAACAGTGAGTGAAGAAAAGTATAATAATGTTTTTAAGCTCACTTCCAAGGAGTAATATTAAATATTTCTCTACCAACAGATTATCTCGTGTACACCTTCAAAACGGAATGAACTTTTAGAATTTTCCACTCCTGCCTTAACCTCGACTCCTAAGGCTCACCCCTGATCCCCGCACATTCATTCTGGGTCCCGATCAGCCGGCCGGCGATCAGTCTCCGATCAGTCTCCACCCTGGCGAGGCCCCCTAGAGAACGGGTTTTTTTTTTATCCCCCCTGAAAGGGTCTGTGTCAACAGCCTCTACAAAAGCCAGATCGTCCACTCGTCATCGTTACAGAGGAAGGGGGATAATCACTTCAATGACGTCTTCATCCTAAAAACATTTCTTTTTTTTTAAAAAAATAATCACAATTTATCATTTTTCCCAAAGAAGAGATGGGCAGGAAAGTGATATTTTAGAGCTCAAAAAGCACAAGCCCTCTTACTTGTATTCTCCACCGCAAATCCTCCTTGGCTAGGAGTGGTGGAGGAGAAGGACGTGGGCAGGCAGGGAGTGGCGCGGGGCCACAGCAGGCCACGTGTTGTCATTCTTTCCCGGGAGACCACCGGGGGCTGCCTCCTCCACAGAGGCCAGGCAGATTGTACGTCTGCCGCCTTGCCCCTCGAGAGTAAAATTATCACGTCTGGTCTGCAAACAGTTTCTCGAGACTGTTCCTGAACGCTACCTACCCACCCAGATTAGAATGCTGTGCTTGTTAATTTAAAACATGCTTCTAGCAGAGGAGGAAGGAGTGCCTTCATTACTCCCAGGAGTTGCTCCGATCCTTCGGGAGGAATTCAATTTGGAACGGAAATGGAGAATTTCATCAGATCTTAAGTAGGAGCTGGTATTTGATTTATTTCTTTGCTTTTTCCAGGGAGAGCTGACCAGCGTGGCCCATCTTGCTGCTCCGGGAGCGATACAGCACTTAGCCATTCCAGCAAGATGCTGCTGCCACAGCAGGTCAGAGGGGGCTGCACGCTGGAGAGGACAGGAAATTGCTTTTGGTTAAGGACAAGAAGAGCCCCAAGGCCACCCCTCCCATCATACTGAAGCAGGTCCCAATTCCCCTCATGGGGAGCAAATTTACTTTCATACAGATCCTCGGGAGGCCTCATACAGACTTATATTTATCAAGCTTGAAGTTCTCGTGGGGTCAACATTTTTCACAATTTCGACAACACGCGGAACCCAATATCCCACGACAGAGAAGAAGGAAGAACCAGGAAGGAAGGAAGCCGGGCTCCTTTCCCTCTAAGGTCAAATGGGATAGTTCTAAGGGTCTTATAATCACTTGGAGGCAACTTTTGTTTGTATGATTTAATTTCTTGCTAATCTAAACTGTACAACTGAAATGGAGACTCCCAGTAGCTTGGGGCAATCTGAAAGGGAGGACAAATCCTCATTACCCCTCCCCCAAGGTCGTAACATGTTTTCTCTTTCCTTCATAAGGTGTAAAGTGGTGTATGCCAACACTGCACCGATGCATTTACAAATCGAATGTTCACTCCCGCCCCTTCCTCTCCTAAATGAAATCCCTAGCCCCTCTTCCCTGAATGCAGTCAAATGTAAGGGATGCATCTGTTATCTTGAAGGCAAAGGGGTGGCCCAGATGACCTGGCAGGACCCTCCTCCCCTCCAGCCCTGAGACTGCACAGTTGGGAATAGTGACCTTCCATTTTCCTCATCTGGCACCTGGCTGTGGTCACATAGTCTACGCAATCTTTACGCTTTAAGGCTTAGGAGATGAGATGTTGTTTTGGGGCTATAGGACTTTCAATAGCCTGAAGTGGAAACCAATTCTAAAAACCGGAAGAAAACTTGCTATATTCGATCAATGGTTACAGGGACCTAGGTCTGAAAGAACAAGCTAATGTTAGTTGGTAAAGTTTTCTTTTAAAAAATTCTGAAAAACAAATAGACAGTAAAACATCTGCTCACTTACCTAAATGCATTTTGGCTCAAACTGTTAACATGACTATGGCAGAAAGTGACTGAGAAAAGCCCAGGGCCACATTCCTTACAGTTGTACCACAAATATGTCCTCCTTCTAAGGACTTACGTTGCTTGGGTGTTTGCTCGGTGCCAGGCACTGCATTTTACACATGTCATCTCATTTGCTCTACCCCACAACCTCAGAATTTTTATTATTATTAGATTTTATTATGATCTCATTTTATAGATAATGAAAGTGAGGCACAGAGAGGCAAAGTGACTAGCCCAAGGTCACACCGCTGCCAAGTAATGGAGCCAGTATTTGAACTCACATAGTCTTCACTGGGAAGCCTCACTGGGAAGCCTCACTGGGACCAATTCTGCTGGGCTCTCATCCCTCTGTGCCAGCTCAAGCCCAGGGGTGCCATGATCATTGTCCTCCCAGGAGTT